GATCCGAAATGTAAACGAGTTATGTATAGTTCTTGTGATTTACATTAAACTAATCAATTTATTTGAGTGTCACTAACTTTACTTAGGTAATCTCTGACATACAATTGGCCAATTTAGTAAATGATAAAATAAGAAGTTTGTAAATCTATTTCCATGTTAGGTAAGTACTGTTATTTGTTTATTTGATTTACATATTTACTAAAATCACGCCTCCCTAATGATATTTCTATTATCCAAAAATCCATCGTACATGGGCCGTTAATATAATATAAATGAATGTTGAATGAACAGCAGTACTGAAACTTATCTTTGTACATTGCATACACATTATTTAGTGTGTTTTTCCTGAATATGAAATCCCACAACAAATTTCAATCGCTTTCTAAATGTTTACGACAATAGCTTGTAGAATACGATCGGTACTAAAGATTATTGGTTAATAATCAGTGATCAGTAAGTATCAATAATGAGCATAAACTTATTCTTCAAAACTTAACACAAAGACTGGTGATATATTATTTACTATATGTTTTTCAGTAATTCACTAGTCGATGTTATTTCCTCACGAAAATTGTCTTAAAATTTTATCTCAAAAAAGCCTAACTAATCCATTTAAATGAGGATATAAGATGTAAACCATAATTTGACTTATTCTTTCATAATACTATCTCTTCTGTTCTCATACAAGAAGTAACATGGTGGAGAAGATTTGCTCTCGTAAATCATTTTGATGGAGTTTTGTTATCTGACATGGATAGTTTGGTCGTCGAGCTTTCATCGTTATTCTGAATGACATCATCAGCAAAAACTTTGTCCAAAAACCAAATAAATGAGAGATACAACCAAAATAATGAGGTAAACGATGACAGGTTAGATGTCAAAAATAACCAATCAACATCGATATCTACAGGACAAGGTATGAGCCATATGTGGAGAAATTCAAACACTTCAGTTTTACCTGATGTTTGTGTTGATGATGTCATTTAGAATAACGATGTAAACTTCACGAACATACCATTCAATTCAGATAATAAAACTCCTTCAAAAAGAAGTAAAAATAATTCCTAATTGTTACATTCATCTACTATTCAATAACATTTTACCGACAAATTAATATAATGTAAGTAATAATGAATTGACTGAATAAATTTCTTTTCAGAATTTAAATTTTATTATCGAAAAAAAAGTGGAATTTATACATTAGTTTTTTTATAGTTGAAATCATGAGTTAATTGAAGCTAGACCATCATGGAAGACCTAGAAGCACTGCAAAGCCCTTTCGTTCTATTGTGGGACTCCTCAGCAGTGCACATTCACGATCCTGCATAGTGAGGTTCAAACACAGGATCTATCAGTCTCGCGCGCGAGCTCTTAATCTCTAGAATCAGTGAGCTGGCATCCAACGGTGTTGATGTCTAACTTCAACCAATCCACGAAATTGAGCAACCGTCCACCGTCGTCTTCAGTGAGTTGATATCTCACAACAGGCCTGGTTGAACTCTCCTGGTCACTGTTTTTCATTAGAACTCCAGGAAATATCTCTTGAAACCAGTCACTAGTAAACATATGATTAATATAAGAAGGGGTTTTTGTGCTTCCTGGTTTTTCATGGTGGTCTAGCTCCAATTGACTCATGATTTCAACTATAAAATTACTAAAATCTCCACAAAACCCCCTTCCGACATTAGTTTCTCTTGTCGAATATCTCAACAATTCATTATACAAGTAAAAAGAAAAAAATCAACTATCTTGTTTTCCTAATCTCTGATAAATAACAAACTTATTTAATTCCTAAATTAGTTATTAAAAATTTTGATTTTTATCTCACTAATGGGAATAATATAAATGGGTGTATAGTTTATGTAATTCTTTTTTTACTTACATTTTATCTTTATTGATCTGTTATGTTTATGGTAAAAGACTTCTATTAATTTAGTTGACTGATTTAACACTAACGTATATAATATTTTCATATACATAATCAACGAACTCAAAAGGAACTGCAACAGAATGATTGTATATGTATTGTGATTCATTGTGCAATTTGGTGTTTGAGCTTTGAGTTATATTAGAAATCTTGATTATCTAAGATAGTGGATACCTCTTGCTGGACAGGATGATGTAGAACAAAACCAGAGTCAACAGTTTTGTTTCGGTTCTTTTCAACTACTTAAAATGAAAGAAAAATTTCATAATGAATTATCATGGCTTGTGAAAGTAACCAGTTTAAGTATACAACGGTGAATAACCAATTATATTGGATTAAGGTTCACTATATCACAAAATTAATAAAGCAAAAAATACAAATTATTAGATTCCTAATCTCTAGCCTAAAGCTACTATTCTGTTCCGTTTTGTGTAGGGATATGTCTTTACATTCTTGGGAATTCCTCAATTATAACTTAACAGTTCCTAGATACTTCCCAATATTTAGTTTTACCTCAGTTAACATTAGATTGTCGTAAAAATTCAATATCCATAAAACTACTCTTTACTACTTCGTTCTAATCATATATTATCAAGTCAACTGATATTCTCTGGAAAAATATACTATATTTACAAAGTTAAATTGCTTTTAGCTGACAGACAAATTTGAGTTAATGTACTAACTACTGTCAGGAAGTTAAAAGCAATTAGATTACCATAAAAGCCGAAACTTTTTAAAATTCATCTTTGTAGTTCAACTGCTAGTCAGGTATTACTGTATTTGACAATGAAAGTCACTTTGTAATAAATCTAAGCTTTTATTAAGTGGAATTTTATGTAACTTTTCACTTAATTTCATATAAGCGTTCTTAATGGAGTTTTGTTTTCTGAGCTGAATGGTTTGGTCGTGAAGCTTTCATCGTTATTCTAAACAAGATCATCAACACAAATTTCAGGTAGAAGTGAAGTGTTCGAGTTTCTCCATATGAGGCTCATAACTTGTCCTGTAGATATCGATGTTGATTGGTTATTGTTGATCTCTAATCTGTCATTGTCTACCTCATTATTTTGTTGTATCTCCCATTGATTTTGTTTCTGGACCAAATTTTGTGCTAAAGATGTCATCCAGAATAACGATGAGAGCTCGACAACCAAACTATCCATGTCAGATAACAAAACTCCATCAAAATCATCCACGTGAGCTACAAATCTTCCCACAATTTATAGGCGTTTTGATTAATTGTATAAAATTGATTTATATTGTACGGAATCACTTTGAAAGCAATAATACCTTTGTCGAAAAAAATAGAATTACTAACAAATATTTATTCTGATTACATTCAACCTATAGACCCTTCTGTGATAGGGCTAAAACAGTTTGTTACTAAATAACCATGATTTCAATTTTAAGTAAAGGAGTTAAAGGAATAATCAACAAGATACGCAATTCAAGCACTGGCTTATGCGCCTATATCAAAGCAAAACGGCCCTCCAGTACTTCCAAGTTTTTAGTGGTGGTCTAACGTTGATCGATCCATGATTCCAGTGGAACTCAATAATCCATAAAACCTTATACTAATAATTCTTTTGTAATTTTAATTACTTACAGGATAAACTTACTTTTCTACAGTTTGTTATAATGTTATAATTTATGTTGAAATAGAATCTGAAAAGATTGATAAGGGTGAAGTCTTTTCAAATCATGTATGTAAGTTAGTCGAAAGATCGAAATCAAATAAATATTCAAAGGAAAAGAAATCTTCCTCCTTTTATGTGTGTGACGACATACCAGAATGCAATTTTATAAAAGAGATTGGAAGTGGGTTTTCACTACATCTTGATAATTAGTTCATTAAATATGGATCACTTTGTTAAAATTCTTGTCTGTGATGATACTTTCTCACCGTCCTATGTTTGTTTATTTTATTCCACTATAGTTTACCCAATTGATAATTTTTGAAGCTCATATTCGGATACAAACAAATTGAAACTGTTACTTTTCTTGAAGGTATATGTAATAAGTTCAATCAGATAAGAAATCGGAATATACGGAAGGCATTGATAGGGATATTGGTTACTTAAATGTAAATATACGGTAGTTGTTTACTTCGTTTAAAAACAATGGAATAAATGTAATAAAATAACCAAAGTAACGTTAGATCAGTTCGTTTGGGCATTAATAACTCCAAAATATCTCAATATTAGGAGAACAAATTACATTTAAAGTTACTTGCATGCAAATATTGTTCACTAGTAACAAAACTTTTTGTGCTTAAAATATAAACACGATAAGCCACTGAAAACAGGTAATTAATTGAGTGTCATTTCATTCTAGCACTTGCCTCTGACATTTATAAAGTAATTCAATGCCTAAGTAGCACACTACCTTGTACCATTGTATCTCACTTCGATTAGTTCCTAAATTAATGCTAGTACTGCAGTGAACGAGAAAACAAGTGGGTACAATCGGATGTAAATGAACACAAAATTACAGGATATCTTAGTAAAATCTGAGAATCATACAGAAAATACTTCATTTGCAAAATGTTAATCAATTGTTACAAATTTGACTGTTCCTTTTGCAAACATCAGTCAATCATCTCATAGTTCATTGCTCTTCCGTTTCTACGCCGATCACTCTCTGTTCCAGTTCTCTTTTCTTCGATCTTCTTAACCTTCTACTGCCAGGCATTTCCCTTTCAATTGATGATACATACTACTTGTATCTGTCGACATCAGTAGCATACACCACAGTACAACTACTTAGTTTTCGAAAATAATATTCTTTTATTCTAACCGTAATTTATAGAATTCCAGTATCAAATGAACTGTAAACTGAACTATATTACAAAGCTTTATATTTTAGTAAATTCAATATATGTAATATACGTTAGCTCATAGCATAGAAATTATAAAGTTTAACTTGATATTGAAAATTCTATAAGAAAATTCTTTAACAAATATTTTCTGTATGATCCAGTGATTAGATCATTAATTATAGACTGATTCAACAACAACAGTTAAGTATTTCATTTGTTTCTCATCGACTATTACTTTATGACAAATTGAAAGAAGGCATAATCTTTAAATATGTACAGAAAAACTGAATAAATTGAATTGATTAATTAATTAGTTCACCAATGTAACGGTTGTAACTTTTTAGAGGAAAAAATGTAACTACATCACAGTGTATATATACATATAACAACAGTGAGTTTATACTGTTAGTCACATTGTCTTAATCCAATTTTATTAATTATGTTGACAGAAGTCATTAATATCAAGCTAGAACATTGAATATCTTTTGTCAAATAGTTCACATACTTAAGAAGAGGAAGTTTGATACGTATACGTGAATATATATACATATATGTAACAATATCAACATAAGTAACACAGCGGAACCAACTAAGTAATGAAACAAATAATGATTGACATTTAGAATTTTTTTTATCTGTTATTAGTAATACAGATAAATATTAACAATAAACTAACTTAATAAGCCATGTGATATTTATGCCTGGAAACAAGATTACTTCTAGACTATATAAAAAGAAAAAAAGAAGTAGAATAAAACTTCGTAGGAATTCATTTACTGTGATAACAAATGCTTCCATGTTTATTTGTATTTTATACTTATATACATTAAACGTTGATTTATGAAGTGAATAGCTTGATTCAATCGGATTATAACAATGAGAAAACTACCGTTGGACCTTTTAAGTGACAAGTACGATTTGTATATTCATAAATTTAATGTGTTTACTCTGCAGTACACTAATAAATCAGTGTTAAATAACATAAAATATAAAAATAATGAGGAACTATGATTGATGTCATTAAAAATTCAAATGATTTAAAATTTGATAATATAAGAACTTCAGAAATCTGTTTTGAAGTCAGTTATCAGTAAGCACATTATTTATGTTTGGCTGATAGTTTATTAAGGTTAGATTTTAATTTAGAGCTGGATTCCTTTGTGAATCGATATCAGACAGAGTATTTAATGTAGAATGTACTGAATTAATATGTACAGACTCCAGTCAATATTAATATAATGCAAATAATACTTGAGGTTATATTATTCTATGACTATATTTATGACGATGTGATATGCTCTACAAAGTAACGGATGTAATAGGAATGGGGAAGACACCTAGGAGAACGATCTATCTTTGAATAATTTCAAAGATTTCAGCGTACAAATTTAATAAATCACCACGTTTGAATATGAGTCTAGAACACTGAAATGTATAGAAAATGATGTCAATGACTAAAAACACAAAACTCATTACTAAATGAAAATGTAAAAATGAAGAGAAAAGGTTTCTTAATATTTTATTAGATGATAAAAGCTACTAAACTAAACAGAGCAAATAATCTGTTTTTCATTTTTTCTTTAATTGAATTATTACGGTAATCACAGATTATAATAAAACATCAATAATAAGGGGATTACCTAAGATTGACGATTTTGTTTATGGAAAGTTAAATTAGGCAAAATGATAACTTATCATCCCAAAACAGTTCAGAACTGTACTTTTATTTAAGTATACATTCTTAGTATCATGACTGTTAATTTTTACTTACCTTAAATGTATAAGATTATGTTAATCTCATTACACTTCTTAATTTATATTGTCATCAAAGAAACCAACTAATGGTTAATAATATTAATAAAACGAAAAAATATTGTCCCTTCACAAATGCAGTAAGCCTGACTAGTCGAGAATCCCCTGAAATTTATTTCACATTCTTTACTGTTTCTGTACCCGATAGTAGTCTCTTGTAACGAAAACTTAATCAAACTTAACCAAATATACATACATATATTTCGATATATAGACTACATTCATTTTTATAATGCAATGTAGATTGGGGCTTCATTTTTATTTCTGTACAATTCTATGTAATGATATTGTAGTGATCAAAACACGACTTGGGACAATCGAATGTGCTTCCAGGTTTTCCATGGTGGTCTAGCTTCAATTGACTCATGATTTCAACTATGAAAAAACTGAATTCTCCACAAAACCCCCTCTGATCTACAATCGAATGAATTTAAGCAAAAATTCTAGACTATCTCACTAAATTCTGATAACCATACAATGAATAGTTAATTTGCAAAATAACAAGCAATTGTCTCAATCCTAACTGTTCCTTCTGTAAATATCAGTTCATCTTCTTTAATTCCATTGCTCATGTATTTTCCTACAAATTGCGCTTCATTTCAGTTCTTTCCTCATCGGTCTTCTGCCAAAATATATTCTATGTCTGACCATCACCATATACTACTTATATGGATATAAGTAGACCACGCTACATTACAATTGCATAGATATATTATCATTTCTGTTTAGTGAAGATTTGTTAAACAATAATCAATTGAAACCATTATTCACCTTCCGTATAAAAAACTATCATTAAGAAGAATTATGATAAATGAAAGAAAAAATGTCACGTACAATATAAACTAACAAGGTATAAAGACTTAATCTCTGATTGATTGTAAAGATATATCCTATTAAAATGTTATAGTATGCTAATACTTCTATACTTGAATTGTCGCCAGCCAAACATAAATATCAGAAATTGTATCAGTGTATAGAGTTTTGAAATTTATTGTTATTTATCTGTCCATTTTAAGATTACCCAAACTAACTACTTATATGTATGTTACAAAAAAAGTAATAATAAACTGATTCAAGATACATATATATATATACATATAATGTACTAGGTTTGACTGATGTACTTGACAAACGAGAATCAATAAAACTCTCTGTCTAAATTATATTGTTCATTATATAATAAATTAGAATTTTTGAATATAGCTAGATAAACCTCTCTCCTAATTTTTCGTATTGCTCAATAAGTTACTGGATAAGGGGTTTTTTGTGATTTTTAGTCATTTTTTATATAAATTTGAAATCATTAGCCTATTGAAGCTAGACTATTATGGAAAACCTGAAAGCACTGGACAACCGTTTCGTCCTATTGTGGGACTCCTCAAAATCATTGACAAAAACAATTATAACTCTAGTATTTATTTCTTCTAAACTTATTTAATCCTTGGCAAAGCAAGGACAGCATTCCTACAATTGAAGAGCGTATGGGACTCAAAACAACTATCAACTAATTTCAAAGTCACAATCTTCAATACGAACGTCAAGATAGTCAGTCCCACTGGACGGAGCTGAAACGTGGAGAACTACTACATCCATCGTCAAAAACGTACAAATATTTATGGACACTTGTCTACGAAAAATATTCAACATTCACTGGCAGGATATTATCAGCAACAACGTTTTGTGTAAGGGACAAACCAGCTTCCAGCTGAAGGAGAAATTAGGAAAAAACGTTGGAAGTGGATAGGATATACATTAGGTTAATTACCAAACTGAATCACGAGGCAATCCCTAACTTGGAATCCTGAAGGGAAACAGAAAAGTGAAAGGCCAAAGAACACAATACACTAGGAGATTGAAGCAGATATGAAAAGGATGAATGTTAACTGGAAAGAACTGGAAAGGATTGCCCAGGATAGAGTTGAATAGAGAATACTGGTGGATGACCTATACTCCTCAACGAGGGGTAACAGGCGTAGGTAAGTATTTAATCCTTGTAATTAATAAGGAATAATATGCAGTAAACATGTTAGGAAATCATTTATCTTAGTTTTTTCTAGTAATAATTATTTATGAAAGTGTATGAAACTATAGAGCCAGCCTTAAGAATGATGAAGTCATTATTTAGGAGGCACGACGAGGACGTGTGAGTCGGATTTTGCCTCCCATGAAACTATAAAAGTAAATTTATAAAATAGATATAACTCTTATTTCATTCTACATCATATTGTCTTAAATTACTTAAATAAGTAGTGACATTTTTGACTGAAATCATTTTTCTTCTATATTTAAAATTAAAATGTGTAGTTTGATGGATACTTTAATGACAATTTTCTTTAAAAAAAAGTTGTATAAAACAAAATACAACTCTATCATTGATATCCTGGGAACATTAAATAATCAACTGAATATGAACGTGCTTAGATATGAAAAAAAAATTATATACCATTAGTCATAGTTCAATTAAAAGGATAGTGTATGAGGTCTGTCAAAAAGGAATGAATTCCCATATATTTTATTACATTATCAAACACGCAAATGTCAGTCTAAAATTTCAGTATTTGTATAAAGATGATAGTTGAGTTGATGACATGCTTATAAAGAAACTTATTGATTATACTTCAACTTATTAATGTCGTCATATATGACACGATAGAAAATTAATAATACTGAATAAAGATGTTTCATGTTTAGCCTTAGTAAACAGATAACTAACTCAATTATAAAGCTAGACTAATTATTTTAGTTATCACGTTTATGAAAACCATGATATGAACAATATTTTCTAGTTTCATCAAATAAAAAGGTATTGTTATATTCAACAATTAGTACGTTTTAAAGTAGTTGTTTTGTGGAGATTTTAGTAATTTCACAATTGAATTCATGAATTGATTGAAGTTACACGAGAGGTTGGATCGTAGATGTGCAGTGCTGAGGAATCCCACAATAGGACGAAACGGCCATCCGTTCAATTGACTCATGAATTCAACTATAAAATTAATCGAATTTGTGTGTGTATTTTGTTGATATATAGAAGAATAATTGAAAAACTGTTCAGAATGAAAAGTTAAGGGGAAATGAAGCATTATATTAGAGAAAGAAATGTCTTCATACCTTCATGAGTAATATTGACTATAGATGAGTTAGTTACGCTCTTTGTTAATTATGGCAGTATAATATATAAATCATAGGAATTATACTAATCCTTTTCATAGAATTTACTAACTATATCACATGACTTTACAACAAATTGAAATTATTCACAGTACCTATTTCTTATTCTAATTAAGCAAAAGTATTTCACTAAAACTACTTCCTTCCATTTACACTTAGAGGGTATATTTTTTATAAGTAAAATTAACTAGATTAGATTGAAAGATGTTGATTTAATATTTATGACATTAGAAAATTTAACTTAAATAATAAGCAAATTTACAATAATGAATAATTAATCCACAGACTAATTGTTAATAAAACCGCTAATAAATGATGAATACACACTTAATGAAAGAATTACGTAAGGAATATGAAATATAAGTGGATGTTAGTTACAAGTTGGTATTTAAAAGCTTATTGATCAGTAAGTTATTTCTAGCTGCTTGAAATAAATAGTAAATATGTATATTTCATTCATTGACAAACCGATGACAGTAACAATGAACTAAAACAATGAAAATTGTGTCAAATTTAACTTAAAAATAATATTTCACTGACCGAATCACTACCTTAACTAAATCTGTTTACCTGATGTTTATATATTGGTGTACCTGGTCCTCTGAACTGAATGCTTTGATCAATAATCATTTTTTACCTATCTGAACAACATCAGAATAAGTATACCATACCATCAAAAGCATCCACTAGAGTTTCGAATCTTAGCCATCATCCTGAAATACTGAGTATATCATCGGTTAGCTTGATGAGACTTATAGCTATGACGGAAATCACTATTGGAGGAATTTATTGAACGACATCACAATCGAACCGTTAAATGTTACTGAGTTTATCCCTAGAACTGTTATAGGTAATGAATAGACATACAAAATCTTACTGACTGCTCTCTATTTTTATGCTTATTTTTTGTTTAGACTTGATGAAATTGTTTTCGGCAGTATTATTTAACGCAATATTCTATTAAATTACCATTTATCATTTACAGTTACTTGGTAATTGGATACTAAATAAAACCATCGTTTATACTAGTAAATGACTGGTTTGTTTTGCAGGAAGAATGCATAAATTAATATAAATGCAATTTTTTTAGGAACGTTTTTTAACGATAGATTTATCGTATTCTTCAGTCTTATTTAAAATTCATCGGCTCCTAAAACATTCTAAAATACTATACAGCTATACTATTCACTTACACAATATCTTTTTTAAGATGTATCATATTGTATTCCTTAGTCACTATCTATTCATAGATTTTATGGAAGATCAGTTATTAAAATATTTACTGTAAGCGTGAATATATTCCTCAGGGATTGACGTTATCTGTGAAATAAATGAGGATGCTTAAAAGCTATCTTATCAAAGTTTGGAACTCCTCAACAGTTTTCACCTACAACCCCCTACCTAAAGAAGTCAAACTCAGGACTACCAAGATTAGCAATAACCATATAACTTTTTAATCACCAAAAAAGTATCCAATGGTCTCTGTTTAGTATTTGGATCAATTCAAGACGACTTTGGTTCATCATCTAGTTCCATCAGTATCGACTATGTCACTTCCCAACACAGATGAATTACATAAGCCACGATTTATCGTAAGAAATTCAGTAATCTGTTTTAACGTTAGTCATTAATAAATGCATCATTACTACCTAATTATCTAGGTTGTTGGACATTGATTGAATATCAAGTTGGTCTTTAGTATAGAATTGAAGTTCGATGAATAATCCAATCATTTATTTATTATCTTTATCATACTATTGATACAAAACAAACTAACAGCAAGAAGTTATCCAAACTTTTTCATTATTCTTTGAGTATTACTGACAATGAAACTACTTAAATTAATGCATAGAAATGAATATTGATTCAATATTTTGAATATTATTTCGGCAAAGTTATAATACTATTTCCTTTTCTCATTTCTTTTTTGGTCTCCCTTCCAGAAGTAAGTAATATAATATTCTTAGAATTATTCTACTGACAATGATTAATTGTATAATTTATCCACATAGTGATTATATTTCTTTCTGAAAATTTAATGACAAATGACAAATCAAACTCATTTCTATCTAATGAATTTTTGTCTACAAATTAGAAAACGTTATGATATACAGTCTATCATACTGATCATATTATAAGTCAATGTAAATATAAATTTCTATATTCTAAGCAGTTGTGTATTCAACGTTATTTGATCAAACAAAATCTAATAAATACAGAATAGTACTGTTTATCATGATATTGAAACATATATGTTCATTTATATAAGCATTTTCGTCTAAATTAGAGCGAATAGTTTCACAGTATTTGGGCGCCGAGTTGATGTAAGACATTAAATAGGAATAATATATATTTGTAAAATCTCAGCGAATGAATTTATAGTAAATCCAACATTTCGCCTGACAATCTGGTCCAAGCTTTTACAAGGAATTATAATCAAACATCAAAATTATTGAATATAAATAGGCACATGGTTCTTCGGTTCATTGTTCACTGAATAGGTCATCCTATCAACGTTAAAAATGTCTAAACTAGGTATATGTATTAGTGTGTAAGAGATTTGTGGTGTGAAATGATAATAGTAATATAACATATTGTATAGAAACGTAAGTGGTGAGAGGAGAAATTTCATTCACATTATATTGGATGACCTATTCAGTGTACAATGAACCGAAGAACCATGTACCTATTTTTATTCAATAATTTTGATGTTTGATTATAATTCCTTGTAAAAGCTTGGACCAGATTGTCAGGCGAAATGTTGGATTTACTTCAAATTCATTTGCTGAGATTTTACAAATATATTATTCCTATTTAATGTCTAAATGTTCATTGCTTTTTTTCGAATTTTCTCTGTTAGTATAAATGAAAATTTAATGTGAATTTTCAATTTTTATTAGATTTATTAATTTATTTGTTTTAATTCTGTTTTTCTTTTGTTTAGATTAATTTGTCAATTATTTATTAACTGGGTAAAATACATAAATCAAAATTCATATCTAACCAAAGAAAATGAATTCAATATACTCATGATAAAGTAAGTCCATGTTACTTAGACAAAATATTCCTACTAAGGAATGTGTTATAACTTGTGACCGAGTGGATGCCTTGTTAACGTATGACGTGATAAAAACCGGTAATCAGAGAGGAGTGAATTATCGATCAGAGCAATGATACACGAAAAACTGTACTAGCAGTCTTGAGTACTTATCAGTCCTTATCAGCCAAGCCAATTAAGTCTAGAACACCAATAACAGCCTCTGCAATATGAATCATTATTCTCAAACATACTGGGTTTATATTACCAAACAAATAGACCACATCCTACCATAAAATAGGAAACAACATTCGTACAAGATTTGACCAAATGTGACTGTGAATAGTGGGAACAGTAATTAATAGACTGGGGATAACTTAAAAATGATAAGTCGTACAGTAATAGTTTATAGGTCAAAATAAAGCTCATAATAAAAGGAACATGAATATAAATATTTAAGTTACTTAACAATTATACAATAGGAAATATGCGTATCATATTTGTCCATAAACAGTTCTCAGAAGTTACCATTCATATTTCTCTTCGGCATATAACAAATGAAATTTGCGAGAAAAAAAGTTACTTCTCATTGTTACATTATCAATATAAAAGTTTTTTCTTTAATGAATTCTATTAATTCATTAACCTTTATTCCAAACTCAGTCACTATCAGATTCACAAAAACACCAGAACGTTACAGGATAAATAGGTTAAAACAAAAATCTATAATTATGTTCTGTGTAACTTTTTGTGGGTCCAAATTATCTGTAAAATCATTGAATAATATGAAATAGTTCTTTAACTTGTGGTTTCTGAAGAACTTCAGGAAACATGGTATCATTGAATTATTAAGTCACTCGCTTAAATTAATTAAGAGTAAGTAATATAGTTATCTAACTCTATCCCAAAACGACCTCATCTCATGGAGTTTACAGACCAAGTAATGATAAACATTGTTAAATAATAAATCTATGATATAATAACCATGTTAAAATGACTGAGAACCACTTTTCCGAATTTATTCTTGGAATTATATGCAACAACTGTGAATTTGATCTTCAAGGGGTAATAAATATATTTTTTTAAAGTGCAGAAAGGGTCAAATAAATACGTAAAATGATGTAAAATAAATTTCTATAGTAAAATAACACTTGGGTTGTATTTTTCATTGTTTCAGTTCTTTTCTTTAACTGAACATTACTAATCATTTACAAAAGTGAAATTAAGTGTTGCGTAATATTATAAGAAATTTCTGAGTGACACTAATCAAAATTTTTAAACATTCAAATTCTGTGAGAATTTACGAAGTTGATGGATAATTAGTATAAAATTAAAATTACTAAAAATCTCTAGTTCTCCTTCTTTTTTCATTCAAATCCTTGACAACACTTTCGATACTTCATGAAATAAACACCGTATGAAGTCCCACAGTTACATACCCTACACAATACTGAATGTAAATATGTAAAACTAAAAAGTAAGAATTAAGATTTCTACCCCCCCCCTTCTAAAAACATAGAAACAGTTTTTTCTCAAATATCATTTATTACTTCTGAAATTGTTACATAATAGAATGAAAACATTGTGTGTATATTTTATACTTCTAAACATTCTATAAAATATATTTGTTAATCTCTATAATAAAAAAGAAAACAAGAATAAGACTTGATTTCATCTTGTTACTTTCATCATTATTCTCATCCCTGTAGGGTTTTTACAATTAATTAACTTATCAATAATTCTATAGTTAAAATGTGATGTGATGCTTTTGTGAAAAAAATGAAAAAAAAATATCTAAGAAATGAATTTCATTTAAATGTAAAGTTAATTAGTCGATTGTTTCCAACAGACTAGATTAGTCGATTTTTATGAACAAATCAGAAAACGATTGTAAATTAATTAGTTTCAAACACAAAAAAAAGTTGTGAATTCTTATTCACTCTTTTCATTCCCTCAAAAACAACAAAAAAAAACAAAATTCTGATTTTTTTTTCAAAGGAGAAAACACTAATTACTTGATAATTGTTACAGTACTCAATATGAATTATTAAATAAGTTGAAAAATATTTATTTAAAACATTATTTTACCATACAAATATAATATTAGAAAAAATTGTCAACATTTGTTGAATTTCAATAGTCGAGATCATGAATCAGTTGAAGCTAGACTATCATGCAAAACATGGAAGCATGGGACGGCCGTTTTGTCCTATTATGGGACTCCTCAGCAGTGCGCATCCACGATCTCGCCTCGCGAGATTAGAACATATCAGTCTCGTACGCGAGAGCTTAACCTTCAGATCACTGAGTCGGCATCCGACGGTGTTAATGTCTAACTTCAACCAATCCACTAAATTCAGCGACACATCCACTATTGTCGACAGTGAGTTGATATCTCACAACAAACCTGGTTGAACTCCACTGGTCACTACTTTTCGCTAGAACTCCAGGAAATATATCTTGAAGTCAGTCAATAGTGAGATGAATTGGATATTAACATATTTAGTCAGTGACTGATGATTATCTACGGTTTATTTATTACACAGATGTCATGTATAGATATAGTGACCTTTTTCACTTGGAAATCATAATCAGTACTTTGAATCATTAAATTTTATCTCTAATCTTTTTAGTTTAAAAGTTAATGATATTTCAAGTAGTGCATTTGAATCTTGTTATTTAAAATAGTGAAGAAGAAACTCTTCATTTAAAAACTACTATTATAATCACGGGATTTACTTGACTAACTTGTATGAGTTCATTTAATATATCATAAGTTAGTAGAATTGTAGTGAACAAGAACACGAGTGGGAACAATCGAATGTATTTAAACACAAATTTATAGAATATCTCACTGAAATCTGAGAACCATATAGTAAATACACTTAGTATTGTTTGTTTGGATCTTCCCATCGATGTGTTTAGGACTGCAACTGGTCAGTCTCTAATTGGCATATGTGCATACTGTGCGTATTGCCTCGATATACCTTAATTCACAAGCATGGTAAGCGGAGATGGACAGTGGCTAGCAGTGGAATCCAGGACGCGCGTTTCGTCCTATCCATCTCTGCTTACCATGCTTGTGAATTAAGGTATATCGAGGCAATACGCACAGTATGCACATATGCCAATTAGAGACTGACCAGTTGCAGTCCTAAACACATCGATGGGAAGATCCAAACAAACAATACTAAGTGTATTCAAACTTCACCCCATCGCACAAGCAAGTGGCTATCAGGACTCAGTGGCCGAGTGGATAACGCGAAGGCGTTTGAAGCGAGGGTACTGGGTTCGAGTCCCAGAGTGAACATCAACTCTGAGATGCAGGTACATCCAGCTGACGAGTCCCAAATAGGACGAAACGCGCGTCCTGGATTCCACTGCTAGCCACTATCCATCTCTGCTTACCATATAGTAAATAGTTAATTTCCAAAATAACTATCCATCGTCTCAATTTCGACTGTTCCTTTTGCAAATATCAGTCCATTGTCTCAGATTTCAGTGTTCATGCATTTTCATACCAATTGCTTTTTGTTTCTATTCTTTCCTTATCGATCTTCTATTGAAATATATTCTATGCCTGGTCATCGTTATATACTACTTATGTGGATATAAGTAACCCACAACACAGAATGACTGTGACATGTTTTGCATAATTCTATTGTATACTTATACAATGAAAACTCGTTAACAATTAACCTGACGTTTCAGAAAATTTCGAGGCTTTAATATATATACTATTTTAACTGAAAACAAAAACAAAACATTGTAGACGTAACGAAATAATTTCATAGACTTGTTTCAAATAACAGATTGTGGATGTAAATTTATTGAATACACTAAGAAAATTATAAGGACAATATGAGACTTATGATCGAAGAATTACCTCTCAACTAAATCAATTGCTTTGTGTACTAGGCTAATTTAAACAAGTGTTCAGTCATTGCTTAGATAAAATCGAATTTTAAGGTTACTCGTTAATAACTCAACTTTTTTCATAGTATTTGACAGACTCGAATACTCCTGGCTTGTCAACACAAGTCAGAAAGATAGTACTAATTCACTATTCATTGATTGGTTTGTATTTCATTCGAACAATAGTTAATTCAAAATTCAAATGAGTAATACTTCTGATTAAAATACAAAAGGTGGTAGTATTGTTCTATATAACTCACTACTAGGATACTGAAATTCCTAATCTGTGTAAACTACTTGTCTCATGCAGTGTTCTAAGAGACTCTTCTCTTTGTTGATGGTGTAAATCTATTGTGGGTAATTCTAAACAATAACTATAAGCTAGATTTTTCTATGATTGGAGTAGACTTAAAAATTTAACAGAACAGTAAAATAATATTAAACCCTGGAAAGTGTAAAGCATCTGCTGTCTTTACAAGGGTAGCATCACGTACAGTTTGACTAACTTCCGGAAATAATCATAGCTAGTAGAAGAGTCAGGTCTTTTGGTTTTTATAATTTTAAATCTTTATCATCTATAACAGAAATGCATAAGATGACGCTTTTAAGCTTGAAATTCCAAAAAGTACTCTTAATTAACTCTATATCAGCGCTTTTCGTCTTATTCGTATGACATTACTTAATACGAAATTGGTTTTCCCGCATAATTTCACAGGGAAAGGAGCATTTTGAAGAATATTCAAAGAGATAACAAAATTAGTTTATAATTTTGGATTTATACTTTGGAATGTATGAGATAAGATAACGATTTTATATTGACTTAAAAAATCATTTACATGGCTGGGTTTGAAGCTCAGTCTCAAAAACATAATCAAGAGTACTCGAACTAGTGCTTGAGTATAGAATCTTGGGTCTTAACTATGATACTCCTTTGGAATATTTAAGTCTTGAAATTCTCTATGATGTAGTCTAAGTAACTCCGCTGGAGCTCTTTGACCAAAAACTAATTGATCAAGACTTGATTAAGTACTTTCTGTCCTTTTTCATATACTTGCGCCTGTATACGCAAACAAAATGAGTATATT